AACATCCAAAGGAGGGAGAAAATCTCTCTTCCTGTGTATCTTTTTTAGGAGTAAAGGTACCAGAAGCACCCCAACAGGCTTCATACCTCATTACTCATTGACCAGGTCAAGACTCTGTGCCTAGTGTTGGCTTACATTAATTACTGAATGAAATATATAAGAAGAGGCAGAAGGTAACCGTGACCACTACAGAAGCCAAGTGATAGTTCAATGCAAGTTTTGCTGGTGTTCTTCCAGAGAAGGAATGAAAAAAGTGAAGAACTGTGTTGATTCCAGATTAGAGATCAGTAAAATGCGTGAAGTGGAAGGAAGAAACTGAAGGCATTGGTGAGTACGTCATCAAAGTAGCTTTTAATAAAGTTTAATATGACAGGAAAAAACTGAATCTAAAATGTCTAGTCAACTAGAGGAATATGGAAGGACTAAACTTGAGTGGTAATGGTTAAAAAAGGAAAAGGAAATAGAAGAAATGTGAAAGACCAGAGACTGAGATTTGAGAATTAAAGGCTTGAACATAGAACAATTGCAGATGATGACAAAATTTAACCACATAAATTAGTTGCTGAAGTAGAGTGATTTGAATGAAGGCCACTGTAAAATAAGAAATTAGTGAAGTATAAGAATGCAGAGTCCGAGTTGCTGATTTGAAGGTTGAATTCACTAAGGATGATGGCAAGGATTATTAATACATGTTATAAAACAGGTTGAGGGGAAGCCAGATGCCAAAACCCTTGAGAAACATGGGGGCGTAAGTGAAAAATAACTAGCTGTCCAAGCAGGAATGGGAAAAAAAAAATGTTCTAACCAGGCAAAAGATTATAGAAAGAAGGCCTGAAAACAGCTGTGTGAAGCCAGAAGAGTGATATGGCCTAAAACCATGGCAGCTGTAGGGACACTCCTCAAAGGCCTGACCGCAAAGTGTATACAGGCTTTTTTATTAACTAAAAGGTAGATGAGAGGATTTTTCTACATACGAGGTAGCATGCAGACAGATTGCTGGATTACACTAATGCATCAGTACTCTAGCATTCCTTAAATTGCATATCCTAGGACTGCATACATATTCAAAGAGTAGTGTACTTTGGCAATGATCCTTCTCACTTTTATTCATTCAAAAATTCAGATTTTATAAGACAGCATATACTACACATGAATTTTTTTTCTCAGCAGGAGGGAAATCCACAAAAGGAAAATATAGTAATTTAAGATTCTTAAAGTAAAATACTATCAAACAAAAAGCTCATTATGTGGGCAACTCAATTAGTTTCCCAATTAAAAAAAAACAACTAGGAAGCATTCCCATTACCCATATTTTTAAAAAATGAAAGAATTTGGAAACATTCAGAAGAGCATATGTTGTCATAAGAATCCAAGTTCAAATTTTTCCTTTTTTTCAAAGTACCTATCAAAACAGTGATTTCAAACAGCACTTTTTTAAAAAAGAAACAGAAATATCAGAAATATCACAATTATTGGTATCCATAGCTTTAGGTCTCCCAGTATGTGTTCATCCACATGTCCCTAAAGAACATCACAGTTCCCTGATGTAAATATTCAAGTCACTGTCTTTTAAGCAGAGTACACAAACCTGATCTTTCTGGGGGGTTTTTCTGCAATGATATGCTATTTATTTGATATTATATATCCTTCAGTAATAAAGAGGTTTAGTAATATGATACATAGCTGACAATCTTACTAAGATTCCAGAGGTGTATAAAGTCAGGAAAAAAAGGATAAATCAGAACAACTTTTAAGAGAATAAAATCTTTTTCCTTTTAATATAATTTTTAAGTGGCAAAGCTTAAAGTCGAAAATAAATTATGCTAGGAAAAGAGATTTGGAAGTAGGCACAGAACCATTTTGCAAATACTAAGACTGCATCATTTGTGCATATAAAATGACTCAACAAGGCTACTTATTAAGTAATTACTTTATTCTTTAAACTATAATGTTATATTTGTAAACCAACACCATTTTTATTTTAACATACACTTCCAAATATACCTTGTAGTCATTTTTGAAAGTAATTAGTCCTAAAAAAAAAAGGAAGTAGATTGTATTACTAATGGCTTAAGGAGGCCTTGGGATTTTATTGAGAATTAAATATTCCTTAAAGGTAATATTCCATAATATATTTTTAAATTTTTGTTTTCAAAATTATTTACCATGTATTTCCACATCACAGATTTACTGGACATTTGAATATGCAGTGAAACATTTCTTACCCTTTTTTCCTTGATCAAACATTGCTCTAACTGCAATGTGCTGCATTAATTTTTAAGGCTTTTAAAGAAGAAATTACAATGCCTGCTGTGATAATTGTGATACTACCCAACTGTGGCAATCACTTTAAAACTACTTCTTTGCTTATCATTAGTAATGCTAAGTGATAAAAATAATTATATCAGAAGTATTCTGGGAAATTATTGTTTAACAATTCTGAAGATTCTGAAAACTCAATCTAGAAAACTCTCAGCATCGTGAATTGGGATACTGTCTGATGACATGGACCCTTCTAAATTTTCTCAAATTAAGTAAACTCCCTTAAATTGATAAGATGATTATCAATCAATCAATTCACTCAACCGCTCTTCTCTTTAGCTCCCTCCCTTACAGTCAGGCTCACTGAACAGAACCAGTTGCCAGATCAGACTGACAACAGAATAATCAAGATAGAGTAGTTTCCTGGGATCAAATCAGTTCAGATTCAAGCCTGAAAGCTTTAGAAATGCTTTAGCTGGTCAGGCGCGGTGGCTCAAGCCTGTAATCCCAGCACTTTGGGAGGCCAAGGTGAGAGGATTGCCTGAGCCCAGGGGTTCGAGGCCAGCCTGGGCAACTTGGTGAGACCGCATCTCTACAATATATCAAAAAAGTAGCTGGGTGTGGTAGTGCGAGCCTGTAGTTCCGGCTATTGGAAGGCTATGGTGAAAGGATCATCTGAGCCCAGCAGGTCGACGCTGGGGTAGCTGTGAGCACTCCAACTGGGTGACAGAATAAGACAAAGAGAGAGAAAGAGAGAGAGAGAGAGAGAGAGAGAGAGGGAAAGAAAGAAAGAAAGAGAGAGAGAGAGAGAGAGAGAAAGAAATGCTTTAGCTCAGGGCAATCCACCACCTAGTATGTGTCAGAAGGGTTAAAATGAAAAGCAATCCACAGTGAATGCAAAGTGATCGCTTCTTTTATCTTCTACATGTCCAAGAATTCATATATAAAAGATAAAGTATCTTTTCCATGACAGCTCATCTAAAATAAGCATCTGTCACTTTTAAATGCTGAAAATTGATTTTATAAATATGTTGCCCTACATTTTGTTTTCCTTTGAAAGAAAGTCAACTTATCCAAATGATCATTCTTCTGGAATGTTCAGTTCTTGACAAGTGACAAATAACAAAGCACAAATGATAAACCATGACTAAACATGGATGAAAATCAATCATGACTTTCCTGCTTATTATCTTATAAACATCTGGGTTTAATTCAACCCAAAGATATATCTGTGGAGAATCAACATAGAAGTATAAAATCCATTCAAAGTAACTGATTATACAAGGGAAAAGATGATGTGGAACGCATACACAGATCAATGAAATGCTTTCTGTTGCCATCCATAGGGCATAAAAGCAAAGTCCTGAAGAGGCTTGTGCTCCCATAATACTGCTCAGTCAGGGGGAGAGTGTCACTCATTTAACCAAGCCCATTACAGGAGCTGACAGAAAATGGCCCAGTTGTAACTACTGTATTTTTTAAATGCTTCTTTCTAACCAATAGATAATTTGAAATATCCAGAAGTGATACGAAGACCTGCTATTGCTTGACCATATTGCCACAACCCCTAGAGAAGGGCATGGCAACTATTCGCGTGCTCCTGCACATACCCACATTCCTGAGAGTCAACAAAAGGTGTGCTTTCCCTTATCTCCTATGCACTTCCAGTAAGTAACTTCAAAGAACACTTAACTTTCCTGCAGACTGTGCCCAATTAACTGAGAGATGTAAATCCCCATTTACTTCCTTTTCTTAATAGTCACAGATTTGTAAAACTTTTATATCAATGTAATCACAAGTCTTGTGATTTGTATAATGTTTGCATATAATAACATGTAATAATGTTGACGTCTTAGGCCCTGTTAACTTCCTTTACTCTATGGCAAGCTTGATTAACACTTCTGCTGGGTGTTACTGATAAAAAGCTGTGGGATACCCCTGGTAACTGGCGCCAGGAAATGTGGACCATAAAATGTCATTATTGACAAAATGCAGCTGTAACTTAGGTTCTATACAATGATCTGGTAGTCACATAGTCAATGTATTGGTACCAACTACCCTGAATTTATAAAAGTGGACTGTAAAACTTGAAGGGTGAGCAGAACCATTTAAAGAGGACAAAAGCCCACTCTGCTCCCTAGATTCGAATTCAGAAATAAAACTCTTTCTACCAGTTCCCTGCCCCTTTGGTTTATTGGTATCAAGGGAGAGCAGCCAAGTGTTACTCAGACCATAACAGAAGGGGTGGAGGGATGGAAAATCACGTGTCAGATACAATGTTCACAGGTGGGGGTGGTGGGTACACTTAAGCCCAGATCAAAAACTATTTGTACCCCCTAAAGCTATTTAAATAAAGGGGGAAAAATAAATATAGAAATGAGATTTAAAACTACATGCACTAGGAGGAAAGTTAGGGGAGATTTACTAATTTTCTTCCACTGGAATATCAGAAGATTAAGGAATAATTCAACTTAGGGAACTTAAATCTAAACTAGGGCAGGGGATGTGTCTATTTTATGGCTTAACTCTGAAAATCCATAGCATGTTAAACTCTTAAAAAGGCTTTAAAAAATAAACCCAACTTCTTGCTTTGAAACAGCCAAGACATAAGACTCTTCTATCAAGGGCTTATCAATAGATTGTATGCTCAGCATGGTACTCAAGTGTCTGCTCAAAGGATGGATAAATGAATGGTTAGTTACAGCAAAAACCATTCCTTAGGAATGTGACTTTCATACCTGACTATTCTTGTCCGTCATTTCATCAAGAGTTTCAGCTTGTTTCTCCATCGCTCGCTCTAATTTCTTATGCCTAAGCTTCCACTGCCTGATAGATTCTTGAGCCTTCAGTTTCAGGTCTTCCCTCCTCTTCTCGGCTTCCTCTCTCAGGGCCTCCGACTGCTGGAGCTCACTAAGGTACTGCTCAGCCTGCTTGGTTGCGTCCTCCGCATGGTGAGTCAGCTCTGAGATCTGAAGTTCAGCATGCTTGCGCTCGGTCTCACATGTGTCAAAGTGACTCTGGATCTCCTTCAGTCTATTTAACATCTGCAGTTGCTGTTTTTCCCTGTTCTCCAATTCATGGGCTAAATCCTAGGAATAAAGAATGTGAAATATTAGCAAAAAATTTTTGTCAAAATTGGAAGTATAACATATCAGACAAGAATCTCTAATGTCATTGAAACTGAAATCATCTGTATTAAATTCCATTAGCAATCAATCTAGAAAATACAAGTCCTTTTCTGTGCATTTTATAGCCACATTAGTTGAAAATAATTTTTATAGAAATATTACCTCTTTTTTAGACTATTCTACTATCCTAAAAGAAAAAACGTCTAGACTATTGTATTAAACTAAAAGAGAAAACGTATATATTTCCAACTGACTGTCACTAAAATAGAAGGAACTGCTGAGATAAACAATGTGCATTATTTTCACAAGAACCTAGTGTTTTCTCTAATTGAAGAAATGTCAATGTTCTAAAATTTGTCAGATTATCAGAGAACTATTAGTAGCAATCATATGTAACATTTCACTTGCTGGCAGCACATAACATTTTATTAAAATAAAATAAAAATCAGTAACAATAAAATGACAGAAATATCATTATAGATAACATTATATTAGAGTCCCAGTAAAGTGATTATAGATTGGTTATTTCCAAATAAAACAATATAATGGTAGATATTGAAGCACTTATCTCCAGCTAACATGAATCATTATAGTATAGATTTTTAAATAAACTTAAATTTAAATTTATTTGTAATACTTCTCTAATCAAGAAAGAAACCTTAAAATTTAGCATCCCTAAAACAAGGATGCTCATTAATATATTTGGAATTATACTAAATCATCATGATTAATACATATTTTAAGAACAAGTAAATACCTATTTTAAGTTCAAAAATGAGGATATTGCTTTTATGCAATAGCTTATACAAATAAAAGAATGCTATAACATTAAGAATGTTATAACATAAATAACGTTAACATTAATCCAGTTATTAAAGCTTTGTACAAAGTAACAAATGCTGAAATTAATTGCTTATAATAAGTCACATAAACTGTCCCTCCTGAGCCTTAGTTTCCAAAACTTAGGGATAACAAAAATAACACAAAATTGTCATGTGTCCAAATAAGAATGGGCTCAAGGGGCAATGATAATGCTGTGAGTTAGATAAACAATAAATATCATCTACATTGTACTAAGACATGACAAGTGAAGAGACTAGAAACATTTACCAAGTTCTTTTGGTCCCAACAGAATTTTCAGGTCCAGATTCCAAAGGCCACAAACTGTGGCTCAAATAAAGTAAAATACAATTTCCCTTATGATCACAGTCATAGTTTGACCTTATGGCAAAAATCGTTTTCAATGCCTCGAAAACAATCTTTATTTTCTGGGCAATAGGTTTGCATTTGTTCAGTTTGCTAATATCACTGCAGCCTGGAAAAGACTTCATCTACCCAAACAAAATAGTAAATTGAGAACTGTGCATTTGTTTGTATGGAAAATTCTAAAATAAGATTCGAAAACCTTAGTATCCTAAAAGGTTTGCCAGTAAGCTAGAAATCAACTTTATTAACAAGCAGTAATCAAGTGATTCTGCATCAAAAGAGAGGTGAAAATGATTATTTTTTTCAACGAATTCTTGGAGGGAGGGCGATTATCCTCCTAGTCATCAGGCACATAATTTACAGAAAGATTAGTAAGACATGACTTCAATTCAAAGAAACTAGCAATTTAATTGATGACATATTCATACCAATAGGTAAATTACAACAGTAGATCGTACTAGGTGGTAAAAAAATGATGTACAGTTAATTGAAGGGGTCTATATTCGGCAGTGTAGCTGCAGAGGGTCTCTCTTAGAAGGTGATGTTTAAAATGTAAATAAGGATCTAGCAACAATAATAAAACAACCATGAGTACTACTGAAATTTGTTGAGCACTAGGCATTATGCCAAGGATTTCATAAATGCTTTATATGAGGTATCTCCTTCAATTCTAACACAAAACTAAAATAAAACATTATTATTATCCCCACTTAAGTGAGAAGTAATCAATACTTGCTGCAGAAATAACTAGATCACATACCTTATAAGTGATGGCACAAGGGTTTAGGCATAGTCTGATTCCAGAGCCCATGTTTTTAACTCTTGGCTAAACTTCTAGCTTCTCAAATGACTCTAACTCCATACCTATTTAGTCACCCACTTCCATGGTTCTATCTTGGTGTTTTTATCAGAATGGCCACTTTTGAAGTGAGAGATTCTTCACCCTACCCTCCTGCCCCATCTCTGGCTTTAACAACCAGTGTAACATCTTCTTTCAGGCCCCTCCTTCTGCTATATCTGTGCTTCATGGTCAAGGAGAAGACCACTCCCTGGACATTCCTTTTGCTGTCTTTAAATCTTGACTCTCTAACCCAATGATATTTTTTCACTGTAGTCACTCTCTTGCTTACATTTCAAACTTTTTTAAACTGTTCATCCACTGAACGTTAACAATGGAACCACCAACTCTAGGCGAACTAAAAAATATTCCTAATTCCTACACCAGGATGAGTCCTCTAAGGAAAATCACACAAGACTATTTTAGTTGATGTGACCATACTTTGTAAGTCAGCTCTTTAGCGCCCAGAAAGTCTTCCATGTGTCTCCACCCAGTTCACACAAGAGTCATTCCAAAAAGTCTGATCTCTGACCCTACAAGCTTGTCCTGCAGTTTTAGTATGTATGTATATAGGCTTCTTCTTCAGAAGTAAAATTGAGGCAGTTAATGCAGGACACCCAAAATGTTCTAATACCATTCCTAAAATGTACCAGTGGTCACTCTCTCCTCCTCTCTAGCCTCTGAGAAAAAGGGATCCTTCCTCTCAGACAAATTAGCCTATCACTGCTCTGCTATTTCCTTCCACATCCATCAAGTGCTTCATATGATATCAGTCATGACTGTACTCTCCTCTATGTTTTGAACTTCTCTTTTTCCCTATTAGACCATTCTATTCTATTTCTTAAAACATAATAGTAAGGATTTTTAAAAATAATAAAATAAAAAATAACAACAACATTGACAAATCAATTTTTATTTTATTTTATTTTTATTTTTTTGAGTAGGAGTCTTACTTTGTCACCCAGACTGTACAGTGGCGTGTTCACAGCCACTGCAACCTCATCCTCCTGGGTTCAGGCATTTCTTCCTCCTCAGCCTTCCAAGTAGCTGGAACTACAGGCACTCCACCACACCTGGCTATTTTTTTGATTTATTGTAGGGATGAGGTCTCACAGATTTCTCCAGGCTGGTCTTGAACCCCTGGACTTAGGCAGTCCTCTCACCTCGGCCTCCCAAAGTGCGGGGATTACAGGCTTGAGCCACTGTACCCGGCCTTCACTTTATTCAATCCTGTATTATCTTCTAACCAGTATCCTGTACCATTCTTTCTTTTAAGCCAAGCTCCTGGAAAGAGTAGTCTACACTTGATGTCCCCACAATTTTATTTCCAAGTCACTTAGTTCACTTATCTGGTTTCCATCCCTGTCATACAATTAAAAGAGCTCTCACCAAGATACTCCAAAATAACCAATAGCCAAATACAAGAAAACTCTAAAAATCTTCCCATTGAGTTTTCTTGTAGCATGAAACACTATTAATTACCTCTTGCTCATCCTTAAGTCTTTCTCTGTCTTTAACTTTCATAATACCATTTTTCACTAGTTCTCCATCTTCTTCCTGTTCTTTCATAATCTTCTCTCCTGGGTCTCTTCTACCTTATAGCTTTTAAATATAAATAACTCTACAAGGTCCCAATACTAAGTATTATCCCACCAATATAATACCCTTAGTAAATAAGTATGCGAGTAGACAGAGATATTCATGAGTTCTAAATTCAGAAGCCAAACAAACTCCTAAATTCCAGACTTAAATATCTAAATGCATAATGACTTTCCACACTTAGAAATCCCATAGGCATCTTAAATTTAACATGCCCAGAGAATATAATGATCTGATGCCCAACTCCTAACAAAAAGATAGTCCAACTAAAATGGCAGGAAAGTGTCTCTCTCTAATGAGGTAGATGAAAATGAGATATATGAAAATAGTGAGAAAATCTGAAATAACTACTATAAGGGAAAGAGGAAATGAACAAGAAAACAAGAAATAGATGTTTAAAAGATAACAAACAGAAATAAGGTTCTAGTTAGATAGAGTCAAATTTGTAATAGATCCAAGAGCACACAAAATTCCATGGATTGATCCAGCAACTCTTTGAATCGAGAAGCAAAATAAGTTCAGCATTATTTATTATTCTGTAATTATAGAGCAACAACAGGCACAGTATTCACATACACAAGCCCAGAGCTAAGAAAGTAGACTTGCAGACTCTCTTATTAACATGTTATACATAATAATTCACTTAGGATATTAGCAAATATCATGTAATCGATTGGGTGTGTGAGTGCAAATGAACAGAAAAATGTGTAGATCTTATTGTAAACTACTGTGGTTCTCACAACTGAAAGGAAAGCAGGTGGGTTTGACCCAGATAAACATCACCTCTAATTTCCCTGAATCTGGAAACTATCAACAGCTACTGCTTTGCTACTGTCAAGTCTGTATTATGCTTCAGGTAAAATTTATCATAGAATTCCTTCCTAAGTTCATCTGCTAAGGATCCTACTCAGCCATAATTTTGACATTTTCTTCAAAAACTTTCTCAAATAACCAGTCAGAAAAAACTAATTGTAATAAACATTTCTCCCACATCAGTCAAAGAATTATATAGCAGAAACCTCATAATAATTCCTTACACACACACACACACACACACACGTATACACAGAAAGAGCACACAATTGTACAAACATATCATTAATCCATGAATAAATGCTTTCAGGGTATTTTTTTTTTTTTTTTTGAGTTGGAGTCTCGCTCTGTCGCCCAGACTGGAGTGCAGTGGCCGCTCCCGGCCACCGCAGCCTCGCCTGCTGGGCTCCAGCGATCCTTCCACCTCAGCCTTCCGAGTAGCCGGAATTACAGGCATGCACTACCATGCCCGGCTGATTTTTTGATTTATTGTAGAGATGAGGTC